GGCTGTCTGGTCACAAAGAGATGCAGACATCCTGTCTCTACACAGAAGTTACAGCATTCAAAGTAAGCAGATTCTGCTTCATTACAGCTGTAAGATATATAAGCAAGAGAAACAAATGTATTAAAATAACCAAAGCTCAGTAGTTCTGGACAATCATCAATACGGCTGTAATATGTATAAACAAGGAAAATAAAGTTATGAAAAGTAACTAAAGGGAACTACAGGTATGAGAAGTAACTAAAGCTTATAAAGTAACTAGAGTCTATAAGACTCAAATCTTACAGGTGAGCTGGCAGTAGATTTCTGCGTGGAGTGAGGATTGAACTGGGAGGACCAGAAGGAGGCAGGTGTAATGCAGAAACAGACCAGTGAACTGAGTATAGGCCGGCTGGAATTGACTCAGGTCTGACTCAGGGTTGTGACGTGGAACAAAACAGGTCAGCTGGGCTGTCGCTGGGTTGGAGACAACTCAGTCTGTGATCAGGAAGAAACAGGAGAGCTGAACAGAGCAGTGCCAACATTCAGGTGGGTTCTCGCTGGGCCAGTACAGAATGGAGTGGCTGCTGTCAGTAGTGAGGCAGGAAGGAATGAATCAGTGTAGAGATAACCCACACTGAGCAGCAAGAAGCGAATGGCATCAGTATCGACATCAGACGTGAACAGGAGGAGGGAAGAAGTCTGTCAGGTAGGTGAAGGACAAAACCAGCTACTAATAGTTCCTGGAGCAACAATAAGAGGTAGCAGGGCTTACTAGGTGGGTAGAGTAGGAGGTTTCAGGGAGCTCTCCATGTCCCGGGGTAGGGCCACTCTGCAGGTCACATAAAGTGGCAGGAGTAGACCCACTGCACCAGTGGCATCCCATCATAGCACCATGCTAGAGTTTGTTGTGATACTTTCACAACTGTCTGTAGACGTTGGATGCATGCATAGGTGGTTGACTGCCTGCACCTGCAGCTATGGAAAAGAGTGGGGCACCTGAGTTCAATAATCTGGAGGGGTGGATGAACACCTCCGGCAGCACAGTGCACATGACAGCAGATTTCCATTGTAACTACATCAGGAAGCATTCTTCATTTCACAAACAACTGGAAGAAATAAGCAGAATGAATAACACAAAAATAGAAAGATACAACTAAGGTAATCCTCATAAAAATGGAAAAATAAAATGCAAAACCATAAATAAATGCAAAACAATTAATTAAAAATGGAAAAGAACAAATAAGGCAAACAACCAAAAAAAGGGAAATTTATCAACAGCAAGGTCATCCTAATTATCAAAGCATAAATCTTTCATATTTTTCTTTTTTCAATGCAAAATGGAAAAAAATGTATATGCAAAACAAAAACAAAAATGGGAAATTAATAAGCAGAGCAATCGGCAGTAAGTTCATCCTAAATATCATCAATCATTCATAACATGTCCTGCAATAGTAATCTAATCTACATCTTCACCTTTACCGTGAACCACTGGGAAAGAAAAGATTCAAACCCTGTTTCTATTTAATTTTTAGCTTTGAACTCATACTCCAATTTCATCTATGTACACTCTGTTATTAGCCGTTCCTCTGGGGCCTGCCTTCTCTTTTGGTCCTGCGATGTAGGTGGGATGCAGATAACAGCTTTCCCCTAGCTCCTTGTCTTCTCTCAAGGAGGCATGTGAAGGGCATCAGCAGCTGCACCAGGGCACAGCTGCCCTGCCATAGTGAGGGGAGTCTTAGTCTCAGCTTGCTGTCTCCGCATGTCCACCATGTGTCTGCTCTTGAGACGGTTTGGTTCACAAACCGGGTGGTAGAATAGTGATGTTGAAGGTTTCCTTGCACCAGGCCGGTGGCAGGTAATGAGCGTTCTTGCTGGTAACAAAGCGCACATAGCAGGTATAATTTTGAGGATATCAGCTGCTAATGGAGGAACGTCTCCTTTGTCTCGCCAGTGGAAACAGTAAAGAAAGATTAACATTGTTCAATGGTTAGAGAAAAAGACTTATCATGCCCTTATGGTATACATGGTAATCCTGTAGTCTGCCAATTCATGGGGGGCTGTTCCTAATTGTAGTCCCACAGTAGAAGAAATACAAACAATATAATTACTAACGTTGCTTTGCCTTGCAGTATCAAATCAAGTCAAATCAAATTTGTGTATAAAAGCACTTTAAAAACATTCAGCTGACCAAAGCACCTTACATAGCAGAACAGAATCCCAATAGATGACTAAAATAGAGTAATTAAGATCAGCCCAAAAATAAAAATAAAAGCACAATAACACTGATACACAGTTAACATATGTTCAACAAATTAAAACCAAAAGGAAACAAAGAAATGCATCAGGCCTACTGATTTTCATAAGCCAAACCAAATAAATATGTTTTAAGCAATGATTTAAAAGCACTGAGGTCAGTAGCTGACCTAACATTAGAAGTTAGACTGTTTCACAATTTAGGGGCTGCAACAATAAAAGCATGGTCACCCCAGCGTTTATATCTGGCTCTAGGAACCTCTAAAAGAAACTGACTTGAAGATCTGAGGGACCTTGTAGGTTTGTGCCAATGCACTAATTCATTGAGGCAAAATGGGGTCAAACAGTTTAGCATCTAAGACAGATCTCTGGGGTTAATTGGTTTTCTTGTAGAGGCTCTCAGTGCCTTGATTTTTCCATTGTTGTGCAAAAACGCGCATAGTGACTATCGATGTAAATAGCTGCGATTCTCCCTTTAACTAATTTACACTTCTCCAGCTTTCAACAAAAGAACTGGGGAAAATCTAACACAGTTTACTTGCCCCTTGCTTGGGGATATGTACATACACATTGAGAGCCGATGTACCAGAGTCAAATTCCTCATGTGTCCGACACACCTGGCCAATAAAGCTGATTCTGATTCTTCTAAGAACCTTTTTTTTATTCCTTGGCTTTATTATTGTTCTACACTCCAGCCCCGCGGGTGGCGGCAATGCACCATAAGTTGGCTTGCAAGCCGCCAATAATTATCAGAAGAAGTGGAAGAAGAGGACTCTGTTCTGTAATACTTCGTCACTTTCCAAGATGGCGGTATTTCTGAGGCAATGCTAGCATAAGAGAGACGGGTAGAGTATAAATGAATTTTTGCTACTCTGTTGGTTTGTCCTTATCTACATTAGTGTTTGTTGATAGTAGTCCGGGTTTAAACCTGGAAACAGTCTAACCATATAAATGTAGCAGCTTCCGGCCGATCTCTAACTTGTGTTAGCTTGTTGGCTTGGATGTGTAATGCTCGGCTGCCACTAGCTCCAGATGAGCCCGGTTGTTGTTCGTCGGAACCAAACTAAAATAATATTTACTGTTTAGTTTCTTAACACTGTTATGTTTGACGAAAATGATGTAACGTTAATGCAATCAGCTATAGATGTTCTGTAATTAGATCAGTTTTCTGGATTGGGACACATGTTCTTGTACTGTTTCAATGTGGACTAAATGGAAAGTATCATCTGCCATGTGCTGTCCTGTGTGTCGTGTTTAAAAACGGGCAACATCGGCTCAAACGTCGCCACACTAGAGATCCCTTTCTTTGACAAAACCCACTGGCAGGGAACAGTAGTGCATCATTCTCTACACGATTACATAAAGTACCTGAACGGACATTACTTCGTATTAGAGCCCGACATATAAATCAGCCAGGCTAATATGATGTAATATTCGCTTATTACTGATACATTAGTGTTGGTTTAAATGGTGTCCGTTAATTAGCCCGAAACTGCAGCAGAGAAAGATCAAACTAGGGTTTGAGTTCATGTAGGAAAGTTATCACAATTACATAGTTTGCCCACCAGAAAACTGTTTCAATTGTAAAATGTCCCGTTGACTATACATCTTGGTTAGGGGTGTATTATATTGAGACAAAATATCTAGATATTCTCTGATGCTTTATTGATAGTGAAAAGCAGACAATATGTTGCATCCTTCAAAACAGGGAAACCTTAAAAATGGAGACCTACTAAACTAGGAATTTTCTCTTTTATACTTTCAGCAGAGGCAGTGTACATATAATCTAATGTAAATTTTTTTATGCTGCTCATTGGTAATCTAAATCTATTTTCCAGTGTTTTTCTATTTTGGTACCCCATAGTACAATTATAAAACACCATAAATTGCAGCCTTCAAAATCAAAGTGAAATAAAAACCTACAATAGTTGTGGAACTAATAAACTGCAACTGAGTGTGTATTTCTAATGTTGGAATCAGCCTTACTGATTCAGTATTAAACTCTACTTAAATTGCTACACTCAGTTGTAGCTACAGTATTATTGCTGTTTTAGTGGGTGCTCTGTTCTAACCTGTCTCTTTCTGTTTAATGATTTCAGAGCTGAAACGTGCTGACAGTGAGAACAGCATATGGAGGATGGAGGACCAGCAAGGTGGTGAAATGAGTTCTTCAGAAGAGGTGAGAGCTAATAAAAATTAACATTATGCACTATGTCATCCTGACCATGGCCTCCACAGACTTAAGCCTGGCCACATCGAACAGACATTAGTGCAAAAGAATATATAGGTCAAAAACACACAAAAAATAATCAAAAACTGTAAATTAGGGCTGGGCGTATCGATACTTCGATACCCATTGGTTGATATTTTGGAGTCGATACTTTTTTAAGTACCGCGATACCACTGTGCTAATAGAAAACCTGCAATTTGTTTTCACTTTTGAGAGTTTTAGGTATTAAATTTATGTGTGAAAACCAGCCCGAGCATATCTTAGATGGTCTTCCATGTCACATGATTATGGCAGCCAATCAGATGTCAGAGCCAAAGGCTTACTGCACAGCCACAGTCAAGCACTGCCTCAATCCTTACTGTGCTCAGAGTGAGCTCAGTCAGCTGCAGTGCTGCAGCATGAATGGCTGAGAGAGAAAAATTGAAGTGTGGTGCTATTTTTCACCCACGACCAAAGGTAATGCCATGTGCTCCATCTGCAATAAAGTGGTGCAGCAACACTGGCAACCTCTTTAATCATTTAAAGACAACACACCCTGATACTTTTAAACAGCCTGAACATTGCCATGAAGACAACCAGCAAGCCTCCAAGTCCCCTGCACCACCTGCTGTCTGTCAGAAGACATTGCAGGAGAGTTTTATGAAGGGCAAAGAATATCCACGTACAGGTGATAGTTGATGTGTTATAAGTGATTTAAAAATTGAACGAACCATTATTTTATTAAACTACCCCAAACTGCAACTGAGCTATATGAATCTTGGATGAAGCCATGTTCACCACTCTTTCATTTATTTGACAAACGTAAAGGTTCACATGCTTGTACTGTCATCCCTCCTGTATATTAACAATCAAAACACACATGAACACAACACAGTTTTAATTGTAACAGTGAATACTCTTACATTAGCAGCAAGAACTTGGATGTAAACAAGATTCAGTGTATATTAGCACATTTGACATGCCAGTGAAACAAAAAACTCTTAAATTTGCTTGATTGAAGTCGCCCTCCATGCTAAGAAATCTGTGAGCTCCAGGGTCTGTTGATCACTGATGGCGCCTCTCTTGAGATAATGCTCACTATGACTGGCACCTCATGATTGTAAACTGCACCAGATTAGAACAGTGTTTGGACCAAAACCAAAGCATTTGCACACTATTCCTTGTTGGTACGAATGGTGTGCCACCATGAGTCTGGACAGTTATTCCCTGTCGGCACATTAGCCTCTGGTGTGTTGTGAATGTTACTTTGTAAACACATTTCAGTGAAAACAAAGATGCAGTAGGTTTTCATTTCACACTAGGAAGTCCATTGTACTCGCAGATCTCAAGTCAAGTAAAGATTTTTATTTGCCATTTATGCATAAACAGACAGTCTAGGCATATAGGAATTCTTGTGCAGCTCTCCTTTGGAGTCAGGTAAGGAGTCAAAAGCCAGAATGAACACTTAGTTTTAAAATAAAAGTTACATAAAGGCAACAAAAGTATTAAAAACTGCAATACACAAAAAAAGGGTAATAGTACAGGGTTATTCAAAAAGAATGAACCGATTTCATTACGCAATATTTTATTAAGGAAAAGTAATGCAAAACGCCAGCCAAGCCACAAGTATTCTACTCGCAGTCAACTTTTATTTCCTGTTTTACAAGTGTTCAGTGTGTCCACAACAACAGCGATCAACTCAGTGGATCATGATATGCTAATACGCACCTGGGAGGAATTCTCTTATCGCATTGATGTTGCCCGTGCTGCAGGTGGTGGCCACATTGAACACTGCATTTTGTCCTTGCAAACATCATGTTACTAGCTTACTTTAGTGAGAGGTCAACAGGACATGAGCTGGTCAAGCCGAAAGCATATTTTGTCTACAGTTAGGCAAAGGATCTACAAATGGAGGCACTTTGGTTCTGTGGCTACTCTACCAAGAAGTGGGCGCCCAGTCAAAATGACCCCAAGAGCACAACGAAGACTTATCAATGACTTAAAGAAACAACCTCGAGTGACAGCCAAAGATTTGAAGGCATCATTGGAACTGGCTAACATCTGTGTTCATGAGTCTACAGTGCATAAAACACTGAACAAGCAGGGTGTCTATGGCAGGACACCACGAAGGAAGCTGCTGCTTACTAAAAAGAGCATTGCTGCACGCCTGAAGTTTGTGAAAGAGCACATTGACACTCCACAGCGGTATTGGCAAAATGTTTTGTGGACTGATGAAACTAAGATTGAACTATTTGGAAAGAACACGTAGCACTACATCTGGCATAAGAAGGGCACTGCATATCATCATGAAAACATCATCCCGATCGACCGTAAAGTATGGTGGAGGAAACATCATGATTGGGGCCTGCTTTGCTGCATCAGGGCCTGGCCAGCTTGCAATCATTGAGGGGAAGATGAATTCCTAAGTGTATCAAAAAATCCTTCAGGATAATGTGAGAATGTCTGTACAGCAGCTGAAACTCTGTAGAACTTGGGTGATGCAACAGGACAATGACCCAAAACACTGGAGCAAATCCACAACAGAATGGATTCAGAAAAACAAAATCCACGTTTTGGAGCAGCCAAGTCAGAGCCCAGAACTCAATCCAATATAGATGCTATGGAATGAAGAGAGCCATACACATGAGACGCCCAAAGAATATGACAGAGCTAAAGCAGTTATGTCAGGAAGAATGGACTAAAACTCCTCCAGAACAATGTGCAAGTCTGATCCACAGCTACAGGAAGCACCTGGTTGAGGTTATTCCTGCCAAGGGGGCATCAAACAGTTATTAATTCCAAGGGTTCACTTACTTTTTCCACTACCATTTTGAATGTTGAATCACTGTGTTCAATAAGGACCTGAAAGATCGGAATTTTTTTTTTGTTTTGTAATTAGGTGCATTTTTATTTGTCAATAATTGACTTAGATGAAGACCAGATCACATTTTATGACAATTTAATTCAGAAAACCATTAAGTTCTAAAAGGTTCCCACACGCCTGTGTGTAGACTAATAATTGTACATGGATTTCAGTGATTCTCAATAGATAACTTTTCTGTTCATTCAGGCCTGTTACAGCTGGCACAAAACTGAATGAAATTACATTGCACATTTAACAAAGGTGTATCTCCACTGTTTTAAACTGCTTTAAAATGCAAATAACTATTATACAGGCAATATCAATAAAGCAATAAATATATAAAAATAGTTAAAATATAAAAAAATGCTCATGCATAATAAGGGCCTAGAATGAAGTTTTTTGTTTGTTTTTGAAACCTTTGGGATATACACATTCATATACACTCTGGCCACTTATCAGGTCGCCTGTGCAATTTAATGCAACACTTCTGCCTTAACATCTATGTTTATGAAGCTCAAATATTTCAGTTTTTGGTGAATTTGTCATAAATGTATATATTCAATTATGTTTATTATTATTATTATTATTGAACAACACAGCATAAGCATAGGATGGTGGAGGGAGGCACAGCTCACCCACAGGCAGTAGAGTTTAACCCTGTAAGTGCAGAGTACATTTCGACAAGGAGTCACCATATGTGTTTGTTCTCCCCAGCTACATACATGTGAGGGTCAGAATATTAGGAACACCTAGAGTCATTTCTGAGCATATAAAGTCAGGGTAAAGTAGAAATAAATACATGTTCTTGAGTTTGTCACACCACAGAAAGATGTTATTAACCACCCAGCCAAATTTGAATGATTAAAAACAGACAAGAATATAAAATTTCCTTTCCAAATCATGAAAACAAAATCATGAAAAAAAAGGAGTGTTCTCTGCTTTGGGGGCATGTCAGGTGAAGACACTGAAACTGTGCCAAATTGTGGAAATGTGCAGCCTGTTCTCATCATGGTTGATTTAAGGGAGAACATGTAGGAAAGATGCATTTGCGGGGCGAAGGTATAGCTTGCTAGCTAGCAAAATGTAAACAGGTTTAGAGTAACATACGGGGTGCATACAGGGCTGCACCCCGCCCCCTCTTTGGACGCTCAGACCACATTTCTTTGTTCCTGACTGAACAAACAAATGACTGAAACAAACAAATCCAAACAAGTTAAACTCTGGACCCCAGAGACTGAAGGCATCCTGCAGGACTGTTTTGCCTGGACAGACTGGGATGTGTTTAAAGCTACAGCCACCTTGGAGGACTTTTCTGTCAGCACACAGGATTATGCTGAGTATGTGACTGGGAACATTAGTACTTGTGTTGACAACATCGTGTCCACCGTACAAGTCAGGAGGTTCCCCAACCAGAAACCCTGGATAAACAGTCAGGTACGCAACATGTTGCGTACCCGCTCTCATGCATTCAGATCAGGCGATGAAACGGAGTACAAAGTTGCAAAGTACAAAGGAAAGCGGACGACACTGCAGTGATAGATTGCATCACTGGCAGGGACGAAGCAGCCTACAGGAGGGAGGTGGCCAGTCTGGAAGTACAAAGGAAAGCCATCGCAGCGGCCAAGAGGCAGTACAGAGAGAAGCTGAATGGCTTCTGTTCTACTGCTGACTCTGGGCGGATGTGGCAAGGCCTGTAGCACATCACAGACTACAGGACCACCACCAGCATCATCAGCTCCACAGACAGCCTGCTGGATGACCTCCACACCTTCGCTTTGAGCCCTCCAGCTACAGCACAGAGAGGAGGCACACACACACACCTGGACCACCCAACCCCCCGCCGTCCCCCCTCCACTGTCTCATCAGGCCAGGTATGCAAAGTCCTGAGGCAGGTCAACCCCCACAAAGTAGTGGGACCAGATGACATCCCTGGGAGGGCGCTCAGAGCATGTGCCTGGAAAATGGAGACTCCTACATCAGGATACTCTTTATTGACTACAGCTCCACCTTCAACACAGTTGTCCCCCACAAACTCACCCACAAACTGTCCGCACTGGGTCTGCACCCCACCCTCTGTGACTGGCTCCTGGACTTTCTGACTGGCAGGCCCCAGACTGTTAGGATTTGC